GAGAGAGAGAGAGAGAGAGAGAGAGAGAGAGAGAGAGAGAGAGAGAGAGAGAGAGAGAGAGAGGAAGGGGAGAATAATAGAGGACAGGAAAGTGAGGGAGGAGAGATGGCAAGAGGGACGCTCAGTGGGATAGCACGCTTCAGGCCAGTATCTTCTCTTCATGGAGGCACGCCCGTCCTCACTTCCAAGTCCCACCGTAGATGATTTTAAATGTTAAACCGCCACTACCTTTCCCATACATCTGCCGTGGGCCCCTCACCACGAGTGCCGGAGGCCGGAAACGCAGCAAAGGTGGCCCAATGGCGGCCTGACCCTCGAAGAATGCTGTATAAGTTTTTATTCCCCATTGGCACTACAATCTGAAAGGTAGTGGTTTAAAAGAAGAGAGAAAAAACAGAGATGATGACGACGTATTGATTGTGTGATATTACTTCATCCTTTGAGCGCTTCTTTATCATGTACCTTTCTTTTTTCTGTTTTTGTGTGCCCTGCTGTGCTGTTGTCTTGTCACGTGCGGACCTCCTCCCGTCACTTTATTGCGATCATATATCCTTCTCTTCTTTTTTTCCCCAGTCTGCCAGGTCGGTTGCATTGCTCCTGCAATCAGACTCGCTTTCTTTTCCGCTTCGCACTCATGCAAACAGCTGGTGAGTCACACTGGCGCACCGCGCCCACTCAAAGCTCAAAGATATGGGAATCGAAAACACAGTTCAGATACCATCTCGCTTCAACAGGCTCTGGCGCATCAGCGCCTGTACATCCCAACCCTCGTCTTTCTGTTCAGCACCACTGTTCGCACTCACTCAACACCGGATCACCCTGGATATCCCACACGCATACACACCCTCTCGTACACACACACTCGCCTATCAGCTATGGCGGCTATGGCCGCTGTCTCTCTATGGCTATGGCTAACTATCCTTCAGCCCACTTCGTCTCTGGGAACTCTGCAGACCACCTCGCACAAGTCGCTCAGACAGCGCTTCCGCATGGCTTATGCAGGAACGAATCAATGGCTGGACGCTGCCTCTTGATTTATACTTCTGGAAGTTGCTGGTCTGCCTCTGTCCCCCGGGCCCATAGTGCACACAGTCCCTCATGGTACTTGCTGACTGGACTCAGTGAGACTGGGAACCGGGTACCGCTGACTCAGCAAGGGTGGACTCCACCACTTGCCCACTTGCCTCTAGTCTGCTGTGAGCAACATTGGAAGGGCCACTTCCGGACCTTCCGGAAGTCTGTGGACTGTAGCAGCTACGGACTTGACCTTTCGGAAGGGCTACAGCTACGACTTCTAGGACTCACTAAGACCTCTACCCGACAGGTCTACAGATCGAACCCCTACAACCTACGGACCTACGACAGCCTACCAACTGATGCGAACACACAGATCAAGGGTTCAACTCTCGGGGTCAACACAGGTACTGTACACAGGTAAGGTAAGAACTAGGGACCGAGCCCTGGGATCTGCATTCGCTACCGCTAACAGGTGAATACCGTTTCACTCCTCTTTATATTTCGCCCGTGTCCCAGAGTTGTTGACGCCAACACCAAATGCTTTCAGCTCTGGGTCCGAATCAAATGCAGAATTGATGATATCATCTGAATGATTTTAATCAAGTCACGATGTTTGTCAGTTCTGCCCAGTCGAGCCTTCTTCCTCTCATCAAGATGACGAATGAGTTTGATTAAAATCAGCGAAAAACGACCAGTCATTGGTTTCATCGGTTGATTTTCTGTTTCTGTTTCTTCATGCTCACGGCCATCATCTCTTCTCTAATACTCTAAAGCAAATAGAGGGTCTCGCGTGAGCGTCCCACGCGTGCCCCCGTTCACAGTGTTGGGAAAGTACGAAATGGGCCCTCAGGCCGTGTGGGGAGTGGCCGAGCAGGCCGACGCGGGCAGGGGGGCCGAAACGGTGCGCCTCCCGGAAACGCAGGCCGAGCAGCGCGAGGTGGTCGGCCCGGTGCGAAACGAGAGGGCTGTGGGAAAGTGTATATTTCCATGTTCTGGCGGAAGATTCATTCGATTTTGCTCATTGTACCCATGGAAGTAGCTTAATTGAACCTATCAACATGCTACACATCCTCAGATTTTTATCGGCTTGGGGTTTCCTTTTTCTTTTTGGCATTTTTGTGGCCGTCATTCCTCTGAAGTTTGTGCAGCAGTTGATTTTAATTCTCTTTTTCCCTTCCGGTCGACTGGAGCTTTGAAAAGTTGTTGACATGGTATAAATGGTAGCTGTAGTTACTAATTATTAGTTAATCAATTGGAGTTGTGCGGGCATGGCCACACTGGCTTTACTTATTATTTTTTTTATTTTGAGTAGTACTACGTAGAAGGACAGGAAACAAACTACCAGAGTGAAGCTTGGCGTTAGCCACGTCTCATGAGTTTGGATGCGGGGGGTATTTGTGGCAGGTGATCCCCGAACAAGGTTCCTGAGGCTTGGACCTTGGTGTGTCCCACAGATACAGTCCACTAGAGCATGAACTCCCACAGCTCGATTTGGTTTTCTGTCGCTATAGGAAGGGGCATAGTGTAGGTGGTTCGTCATCGTGGGTGCTTGGATTCATGTTAAGATCTCCGACGAAACAGTTTGTCACAGCCCCTCGTTTATTGTCCTCTTCTCCCTCTCTGCCTACGGTTTATTGGGCAGCTCTGTTTGACTATATATAGTTTATTGTCCTCTTCTCCCTCTCTGCCTACGGTTTACCGGGCAGCTCTGTTTGACTATATATAACTCTGCCTCTTTCTTACAGCGTGCAAGTGGGCCGTTATGGCACACGGGGATGCAGCCAGCTCGCGCTCAACTTCGTGAGCCTTGTAAGTGGGAGGCAGGGTGAACGGGAAGTGAAAAGACGAATGAGAAGAATGAATGGTTTCAGTGTGCCCTTCATGTTGGTCTTGTTTTTTCCTTTTCCCGTTTGTTTCGCAAAGTGGGCTCTTTAAAGGTTCATAGATATGTGACAATATATAGTGGCCGGAGCAGGGCAATGTGTTCAAGGATCTGCAACCTTCCCGCCTACACGACTATGGATACCGTTACACCTCTGCAGGTGTCATTCTCCATGCCAGGATCACTACAATGCCATTGTTTCTGCAGCCACATGTGAGGGCTGGTCCTCCATTCCGACTGCACCCACGCACCCTTCCCTCCCGGATATGGTGTCCATTTTGTAGCCAGGGATGTTATTGTGGATGCGTGCTCCCCAATGATGCTCGTAGTTCAGTGCGCTCGTCATGTTTGTCTTCTGTATTTTTTGTTATTTATGTCGCAAAGGGCGCTCTGTTAGTTGATACTAACTTCTGATGGGGTGTGAACCTCCAGTCTGCAGAGTTTTCCGTCTGGTGTGTGTCTGCCTTGCTTTTCGTCACAGGTACGTTTAGGGCAGTGGTTGTGGTTGGTTCCCACCTCAGGGTATCAGTCGGCGGGCAGTCGTTGATGCTTAACGACAACCGGGGTTAAGGTGGATTGTCACTTTCAGTACCATTGGTTAGTGGACCCTGCAGACTGTAGAGGGTTCAGCCGCCTGATGAGTCGCGATGAAATAGTCTGTCGCAACCTGTCGTTTGTTGTCCTCTTCTCCCTCTCTGCCTACAGTTAATTGGTCAGTTCCATTTGATATGTGGCAATTTTGTTGTGGCCTTTCTTTGCCCGTATTTCTGTTCATTGAATCTATTTTTTGAATCTATGGCTGTCTGTCTTGTGGGTGGCAAAGCTGGTTGAGTCTGTCGCTGTTCCTTTGCTGCACCATTATTTGGTCAACTGCTGGGATCCTATGAGTGTGAGCAGCACAGAGCGGGCAGTTAATGCGGTGAAGGAAACACTGATATACGTCCCGGCTGAGTCGTCGGCGCTGAAGGTGAGTTTTGCTATCTGTTTGCAATGTAAGATTTTTGTTCTTTTAGTAGAAGGGCAACAGCCGTGAGATGTCATCATTGATGATTGAACTGACTGTCCCCACGTAATTCAGAATGGTTTTGTTTTCTGGTCACCTGGTTGCATCTGCATTCGAACTGAGGTCTGTATTTCAACAGTTCATTGGTGTACCAACTGAGCCGGGGCCGTTGGTTGCTTATGCTGTAAGATTGTGTCCCTGTGGGAGGTGGGTGTTACTATTTGTTGTTGTGCTGTGTGATTGCATCTCGTGTAACTCTCCTCCATTGAGCTGCTAATGAATCGGGCTTTTTCTATTTTCTCCTCCACTTCCGTATCACTGCGGCTTTCCTCTGACTGTGTACAAAAGTGTGTGTATGCATGCGTAGAGACATGATGGCAATTCTGTTATTGGTTGTTGTTATCGGGACACTGAGAGCAGCGAAAGTCTTTTTTTTGTGATCCTAGGGAAGCTGAGTGAAAATTTGTCAGTCATGTCTCAGACTCTTCGCCACATCACAACACAGAGGCAGGTGGGCTGGTTCCTTTCACATGGAAATCCCTTGTGTCTGTTTGATGCAGCACTAAAGGTGGTTGATGAGTCTTCATTTTCTTTTTGCTCAGAATTTTATGTGTGTTTGTGTGTGTGTGTGTGTGTGTGTGTGTGTGTGTGTGTGTGTGTGTGTGTGTGTGTGTGTGTGCGCGCGCGCGCGCGTGTGAGAGGGAGAAGCAGTGAAGGAGGAAGGGGGCAGAGACCATGTGTGTGCAGGTGTGCATGAGAGAGAGAGAGAGAGAGAGAGAGAGAGAGAGAGAGAGAGAGAGAGAGCACTGCATGGAGAAGTTCCATTGATCAATGAACATGCTGATGCATCAACCACAGTGCTAACAGCAATATGCTGTTCGTGGCGAGAGAGAGAGAGAGAGAGAGAGAGAGAGAGAGAGAGAGAGAGAGAGAGAGAGAGAGAGATTAATGGTGCTGTAAGGAGAAGTTTCAATGATCAATGAACATGGTGATACGTCAAACACACTGCTAACAGCAATCTACTGTTTCTTTTCTTGCCAGGATGTTCTTTCTGGAATACAGAAGCGGATGTCAGATGCTGTTGCAAAGATGCATGTACCTGCATGGACCCCTGCTGTATGTGCTGCTGTCCCCAATGCTGCAATGTGGGCTGCTCAGAAGTTTGGTGCATCAGTTCGACTTCTTCGTAGTCTGACCTGTTGGAAGGTGAGCCTTTTCTTTTCTTTTTTTTTTGTCACCCTTTCGCTGGGGCCATGCTAATCTTCTATCTCTGTATCGTTCATTTTAACAGATCTCTTGACGGGCGACTTAGTGAGGGTGTTAGAAGAAATGTAAAAAACTGTCGTGACTCGTGACACCATTTTCTTCGTGTTATAGCAGTGCGCATTACAGGAGGAATCTAACTATCATCGGATTCAACGCAACATTTTTATCCGTGTGTTATTGCATGATGGTGCGTAAATCCTCTGTGTTGCCGTTGTTCACATGAATGGGTGGTAAGAACAGCTGTCCCGATCAGAATGTATGTTGTCCCCTCTGTATATCCTGAGCGAGGTCAGGTAGCATCTTTACCTAACATTGAACGAGTGCACGTTGCAATAGTTACGGACTTGTACGTTGTAGCAACCTCCCTGACCTTGCTCAGGGCATATGCATATGCTCATACCAGGCCATTACAATCGCCGAATAGCAAAATCAGCGCCCAGATCATGTCCTTGTATAAGGAGGACTCGATCTGGCCACTGATTTTGCAGATTGTGCGATCATAAGGGTGTAGTGTGAGTATAGTCTCAACCATATCTCCTCTCTGTGTTCTTGAAATCCCTCTTCTATGTTTCACCTTACATTGGACTATTCAAGTATGCAATGGCTGTGGATTTGTGCTTGTGCTTGACAACCTAGTAACTTCATTCCGTCTTCAGCTGTATGGAACTCATGCTAATTATAGCTGTATTTGGCATTTGGCATTTGGTGCGACTTTCAGCCCTGTGTAGCACACCGAACATGGTAGGAGCTTTTCCGAATGTCCGAACATATGTTCGGGTGTTCGGCCGAACGCCTCCCGGATATGTTTGGTCGAACATATATAATAAAAAAAGATTGTAGGTTTTGTTTTTTGGGTTTGGATTTTTAACTCAGTTACGAATTGGAGCATACCTCCCAGGCAAAAGTTGTTTGTATTATTATTTTACATTACATTTCTTTTTTCAGATTTTTCTGAGAATTGTTTTTTTTTTTTTTTTTTTTTTTTTTTTTTTTTTTTTTTTTTTTTTTGTTGTTGTTGTTGTTGTTTTTTTTTTTTTTTTGTTTAATGTTCGCCTTGAGATATCATTATCATCTTTGAAGTTTGAACTGACCAGCCCCAGGTGAATTCAATTTTTTTTTTTTTACTTTTTTGAGTCACCTGATTCCAGTGGAACTCGAACTCAGGTCTGCATTTCAAAACTTCATGGTTGTACCAAGTGAGCGACGGTAGGGCAGTTGTTTGTTGGTAGACTGTCATCTGTAGCATCAAGTGTATTAAACTTCATGTCAATCATCCAGCTAATCTGGAGACGATCGTGCTTTTTTTTTTTTTTTTCCGATGTGTATTATGTGTGCATTGCAGGATGTATTGTCGAGGAGTTTGCTCGAGCAGCTGGTCCTTGACGAGCTTCTTGTTCAGAAGATGCTTCCGCATTTGCGGAATGTCATACCAACACCGCATGACGCGATCACAAGGGTAGAGAGAGTGGTGGTTGTAGTGTCTGAGGTATGGGGCCGAGCAAGCGGTGCGGTGGGACTGAATTTGAAGCTGGTACCACTAGTTGATTACCTTTCAATTGTCGGACGGGCCGTTGAGGGACGGCGGGATGATGGGCTGAGTTCACAGGAAGAAGCTGTGTCTATGGCAAGGAGGTTGAAAAAGATGCTTGTTGATTTGAATGAGTATGATCGGGCACGCAGATTGTCGAAGACGTTCCAGCTTAGAGAGGCGCTGTGATTGCCGCCGCTCGCTCTGCATGTGGCATGCTTCTTCTCGTGCTATCTGTTTGCTGTCACTGGGCCTCGATCCACTACTCACCAGCTGTGCAAATTTGAGAATGCTTATTCTGCCAGAACATGGAAAGGTACACGGTCATGTTCTTTGTCTTTTGTGCTTGTCGTGAGTAGTGGAGTGAGGCCCATTATCACGAGTTTTTGGACATTGTTTGCATGTGCTTACACTGTCTTATGCGCCGATTTCCCTTAAAATAGGATTAAAAATCTTGCTCTCGCAGTGCGACGTAGGGCAGTGGCAATAACATTGGGAGTCTGAAGGCTCTGCTTTCTTTTCCGCAGCGGCCTCACTCCACGACACGACACTGTACATGCATTTGGAAGCTTCCACGACCAGGTGCATTCGGACGAACATTTTGTATGTATCCGGTCCAGAAACCGTGCAAATGCATGTAGAGTGTTCTGTAGCGGAGCGAGGCCCGAAGCCTGGAGTGGTGTACGGGTGAGGCGGGGTTCACTGCAGGTGTAAGAGGACATGTCATCATTGTATGTCCTCTTACATGACCAGGACCAATGTGCCCAATGCCTGGAGCACTTTGGTCGGCTTCTAAGGGGGAGTTCGGCGCGAGTGCTGCGTGTTTGTGAACACGTCCAATTTCTTTTTCCAACTTGGTTTATTGGTATGTGACGAAGCCTGGCTTTTATGTTTTCCGGAGGGCAAAGGATCTCATCTTGCGCCATGTTTTTTTATCATTCTTTATGGGCTGGCAACGTAGCTGCACTGCCCACCTCTACGGTTCGACGACTTGGCTCTGCTCTGCACCTATGGCAGTGTATGATTGACCGTATGCAACAAACTAGGACTTCATCTCAGGGTATAGCATGGGCCGTCCCACATCGCCAATCGCATATTTGTTACAAGAGTA